AAACTGTTGTTTATTATTTTTTACATCTAAACGTTTACGTTTTGATGCAGATATTTTTGATTTATGCCTCATTTTGAAGCTGTTATTCCACGCCACAACGCAAGAGGGACAATCAGGAACTAGCTGTGGGTCTAGATACGGCCGAGGAGGTGAGGAGGTGGAAAAACGCAAGGGGCAAGTCTGTGCGACAACGGAGGGACATGAGGGCGAAAAAGAGCGGGGATCCAGGTGCTCGCTCTTCTAGCCGGTCCATCTTCACGAGCCATTTTCCACAATGGCGGTCATACAAAAAACCAAGCCTGTAAGGTACCAAACAGGAAATACGCATAGTGTAGATTAGATGTAGATATGACCAATCAGAGGCCTCCTGTCTGAGGTCACCTACAGTTTTAGAGCGGTGCAGCAGAGTGTCTGCAGAGGGGGCGGGGCATATCTGCATTAACTGCAACACACATGCAGACGACCTGGTTTCTGAGTATAAATCAGCCTCAACTGGTTTTGATTTCATGTTAGCTTCTGTTAATCTATTAACTCTAGCTAATATGGTAAACAGTAGATCACAAACTGATCACATTTTGTTTCAGTAATTACCTCATATAACAGCTCATGAAAACATCCCAGCATGCATTGCACAGGTGAAAAAAAATGGCGACCTCCTTGAAAGAAAGATTTAACAAAGAAATTTTAAAGTTAAAAGGAAAATTGCAACATATTTAGGCCATGTTCAACCAGTCATGGATCCCTTTAACTCTAATAAACGGCAGCATTAAAGTAAATGTTAGATTAAATTATTGTTCTTGAGGCCCGGTGTTCTGCTAACCTGACTCCGCCAGATGGATTTGCTCCGCATATCCGTCTGGAAACCTTCCGTTGAAGTAATTTTGGGAAGGGGCGAAAATACTGGTTAGCTGATTGGCCTATGTTGGTGATAGACGGGCCAAATAAACCAATCAGATCAACGAAGCATATGACGTACTAACAGAACGACGACGAAGAGGAGTCAATTGATAGATCAAACTCTTGTCGAAACCAGTCGGGAGAAGAGCAAAAACATCTTTTCCTCTGAGAAAAGCCTCCAGAGCAGTAATACTCTGTAATTCCGATAAAACTTGCTCGATAGCCACGCTAACGCTAGTTTAATCGGCTGAAGCCGCCATGTTCTTTAGACTGAACTGTCTCGCTTCTCGTTGCGTCACACCTCAACCCGCCTCAAAGCCAACGCTGATTGGACGTTCGTTTGGTGAACGGCTCCAAATGTTCTTCAACGGAGAGTCTCCAGACTGATCTGCGAGAAACCTTGAAAGCTCGCGAGATCAGGATGGTCTCACGAGGCTAGTGTTCTGCACCTTTTAGCTGCATCTTTACTTTCACTCAATCAAATTTCTGAAATACCTCCTCAGTATGAAACCAACTGCTAATGACCTGATTATTTGACCCTAATGGATTCTCACCTTTTTCCCCAACAAATGTTTTTGGAAATATAACTTTTTCCTACACAATAATGCTATAAATGCTATAAATAAAGTAATTTCTTATTCCCGGATTTTGTTCATTTATTGAAGCCTCACTGATTTTTTCTGACTCCAGAGTTATGTTCTTCACAGCCGTCATCAAAGTGGGGAAATCCCACGCTGTACTTTGATGAGCCTGACACAGTTTTAACTCTCCTCTCATTACGGAGATAATTAACGGTTTAATTAGCAGCAATTCTCGACTACTGAGAGTGTCTCAGAGACGGAACTAGGATGCAAAATTACATACAAGGGAGTTTCAGTCCAGGTTTGTGTAGATCAGCTAGTTTGTGCTTTAATTGTCCACCAACTTTTCCCTGCTGATGTCGACTACCACACCTCACCAGAGGACGAACGGCTCCAATATGTGCAATGCAAACAATTTAGCTAAATTTAATTTAATTCTCATTACCTTGAAGCAAAGTAATCATCTTCTATGTTGTAGGGAAAAAAAGCCATCATTACAAATAAAGTAATTATCTCTCTTGCTTTTTTTTTCCCTCCACGCTGTTCAGAATGAAGATTTCCTGGAGTCTGAAAGGGGCTTTCAGAAGAGCTGAGTTTCTGTGGAAGCAAACGCTGCAGATCCAAGAAGATCAAAGCTGCAGCGACTGGAATCTGTGGATTTTAGACGAGTTTAAAGATGCTGAAGGGAGCTGAGCGCACAATGAGCAGCAAGTGTAGGCTTGAGAAAAAACAAACGCGTGGCTCTTGTTTGGGCTGAGAGACAAAAGCGCGTCTTCCAACATGGGTGAGGGCCAGCAGCAAAGTCTCTGTTTCAAAACTTGCAGTTTACGGCCGCTCAAAACAGTTTACAGCAGCCAAATTTCATTTTCTGCTCCCAAATCCGATCGCACATTATCCTGTACATTGCATTAGCGCTCTAATCTCCCCTTTCTCTTCCTGCGCAGAAGAAAGAAGCGCCTTCATGATTAACCCACTTTACAGCAATAAATAAACGCATCATCCAGTAATGTACACCAGATTTAATTTGAAAGGAAGGGGGGGAAAAAAAGGGCCAGAGCGCTCAAATCACTGAAATGTAATGAAAAATAACACAATGCAGACACCAGTGGGCGCCTTAGGAATTAATTTGAATGCTCCCTCATTTCACCCCCCCCTCTCTGCTGCACTCTGGATTGGTTTTCTCTCAGCCGGCTGCCTGACATTTCCCCCCCCAACATCACTTGCATTAATGCCTTCAAAACATGCAAGAAGAATAAAAAGAAACAGGACCAGTCTACTTAAAGAAAAAAACAAAAAAACAAATTTTAATCAAATTAATTTAGGAGAAAAAAAGCTTTGCTCATTTTTCCTCCATTTTCATCACATGAAGCCCATATTGCTCTTGGTTTCCCATCGCTGCTTCGCCTCAAACCTACGAAACACAAAAACAAAAACATTAAACAAATCAGTATTTTAGCTGCAAACTTAATTCCTGTATGAGGAGACGTTCAGGCCTGTGAAGCTCCTCCGTCTTCACACAGAGCGTCACACGGCGAGATGTGACGACAGACAGAGACAGGAGACAAGACGTCGTACCCCCAGGCTATCTGCTTCTTCCTCTTCTTTGCTGCCCTCAAAGCTTCCTCTTCCTGTTTGCTCTGCACAAAGTCACGGCAATCCGCGGCCTGAGCGATTTGCACAGCCATCTATTTAGAGACGGACAGAAGAGGCGGAGAGGAGAGAATGGAAATGAGTCGGTGGCGACAAAAACAGAAACTTTCCGACTGATCTGAGAGGGTGGCATCTTGTCAGGCGGCCACTGAGCTGATGGCGCCTCCTTTATATCACAAGTTAACCTTTTATAATAATGACAAAGCAACACTTTCCTTTAACAAGATGATCTGTGACATTACTGATGGTTTTGTACAATACAGCTTGTAGGGAATTAGCCGAAGCTGCTTTTATTGTGACATTTATCTTGTTTTGTTCAAGTAAAAAATAAACATGCAAGAGAAAAAAAATAAAATAAAAACTACAGTAGTCTGTTCTCACAGGGAACCCTTGATCTCATACCTACTGAGTTTATATCTGTATCAGAAATAAAGTTTAACTGTTCTTTCCTCACTGCAAAAGTGATCTAGGAATAAGTAAAAATCTCTTAAATTGTGTATTTAACATTAATTTGAGTAGGTTAATAAGATGATTCCCCAATGGAATGAGTATTTTTACTCTAACAATAAGATAATTAGCTAAAATGCAGTTGAAATAAGATAACGTAATTGTTTCTACGTAATTTAAATTAGGGATTTTGGCCGATATCCGATATGCCGATATTTTAAAACTCATGTAGCCGATAACCGATATCGATACCGATGTTAAAGCTGGACAAAAATAAGTAGTCATTGAAAATAGCAGTTTTGTTATCCATTTCTGACACTTTGAAAAATAATATACTCAAATATATTTTCATATACTGATATCAAATAGATTTTTAAAAACGCGGTATCGATCTATTTTACTTTCAAAATCTCGTGAAATTTCATCGTTCTGTTACAAACTCTCGTGATATTTTGCAAATTCTTGTGAGATTTTGTTAGTAAAATAGATCGATACCGCGTCGATATATCAACATATAAAAATATGGCAACATTTTGTGAATTTTCGGGGGATTTCGTAGCATAACGATGACATCTGGTTTCGGCAAGAGTAGCCTGGCTTGTGGTTGTGTTTTCGTGCTGTTAGTACGTCATATGCTTCGTTGATCTGATTGGTTTATTTGGCCCGTCTATCACCAACATAGGCCAATCAGCTAACCAGTATTTTCGCCCCTTCCCAAAATTACTTCAGCGGAAGGTTTCCAGATGGATATGCGGAGCAAATCTATCTGGCGGAGTCAGGTTAACCTTGCTGTGCAGTATTGGCCGATACCATCTGTTTGAAATTGATGTGTGTGTATATATGAAGAACTGCATCCTTCTTGGATATAAAATAATTGCCATCATGGCTTCATGTCAAGCTGCTGCCTACCTTTGTGAAGCAGAAAAAAAAAACAAATACAAAGTGAATCCAGTAGAACTTTTTATTGCCTACCTGGAATGGGTGACAATAGTTGAATAAACTTTTGGCTCTAAAAATGGTATCAGTGCCCTATTTGTTGGCACTCGCTGATACCAATACACCCATTTTAGTGCTGGATCAGGGCGCTGCCCGTTACTGGTATCTGTGCAATACTAGATACGATGCATCAATCACCCATAATTTCATTGCTTATTCTGTCAATACTGACAGAGGTATCATTAAGCAATGAGTTTTGTCAACTTTAAACTTAAAAATGAGATGTTCTAAAACTGAATGAAGTAATCAATTAGAAGATGAGACACACAGCAACACCTGATGATTTAGATCTCTGATGATTTGTTGGCTTTTTCTAGCAATGTTTATGTCAAGCATGATGTCTTTCTTCACATGGTTAATTCGTTCGACAGTATTATTGAATCAGCATTGTATATGTGGCAATATGCTCAGCCGGTGTATCATATCGGACTAGATCAGATAGAATGGATCGCTGGATCTCTACCAAAACCTACAACCAAAGCCTCCCCTATATAGAGCTATATAGAGCATCATGGCGGCTGTGAATGACGGAGTTAGGTGCTAAAAAATATGCAAAAGATTAAAAAAAAGATTTAATTTAAACATGAAAAAAACTAAATGTTGACTATGTTACATTAGACGGTTTACTGCAACATTTTTCTTTTAACTTAGTTTCTCTTAAAAGTACAATTCGTGTTGAAATTATCAAAAACAAAAGAAAATTTCCCATATTTTTAAAGGTTTTAGGTGATAGTTTCACAAATAATTGAGAGGGAGGAACCATACAAATGGATCTTAACAGGTATTAAACTGAAAATATTCTGATAGCCCTAAATAAAACCCAATGTAAACAACTGCCTTCAGGAGTAAATTCATTTTTAACTAGAGCTCAGATGTAGATTTTTCAATCTTCTTATGATTGTGCGAGGCCTTGTGGGTTTGTTAGAGGACATTATTGAACAAACAAACACCACAAATGAAGTTGTGGAGAAATTTAAACCTAATCTAACAAGGTAAGGCTAGAAACAATATCCCAGGATATAAAGATCTCAGGAAGCTAACATAAAGCAGAAACATGAAGATGGACCTACAAACACATGGGGGTCCACCTTAACTGAGAGACTGAGGAACTTTAAAGAGAGCAGCAGCCAAGGGGCCAATGGTAACTCTGGATGAGCTGCACAGATCCACAGCAGCTTTTAGTCTGTCACTCCACTAATGTAGCTTTTATGTTAAAAAAAAAAAGCTGTAGCTAAAACGTCCTGTTTGGAGTTTGCTATGAGCCTTTGCGGAGCAGCACAGATGTTCAAAAACAATGAAGACAAAGATGAAACCTTTCGGCCAAATGCAAAACGTTGATAAGATGCAAAAACATCCAACTCTCAGGTATGATGTGCAAATTATCGCTACAGTAGTAGCCATTCAAAATTTCCCCACTTTCCTTGCTGGGTCCTTGGCTGGTCCCCTACAATTCCTTTTTTTAAACATCAATCTTTGCACTAAAATATTCTTTCTGTGGTGATTTGTGGACATTAAGATCTAAAGAGAGGCACCATCTCCTGGTCAGACCCTGTAATTCAGTGAAAGGGTGGAGTCAGTGTAAAACAAATGCACGCCCAGGAGAAGGCCAGGGGCTGGAAGTTGGAGGGGATTTTGCTGGGAGTACCCGAGTCACACTGGAAAAATCCAAATCTAGATAAGTCATTTTTTCTTAATATAAATGCATTTGTTCTTGGATTGAGGAGGTAAAAGAGACATTTTGCCAATGGAACAAGACAATTTACACTTAAAATAAGAAAACACAATTGCATTTTCTTTTTTCAAGTACATATTATCTAATTATTTTATTTTAAGAGTAAAAATACTCACGCCATTGGCAAACTATCTCAATTACCTACTCAAATTAAGGTTAAATACACTTAATTTAAGAAATTTCTACTTATTTCTAGATTGTTTTTCCAGTGCAGTAGGCTGGCGATTGACTGGGAAGGGTTATTTTGAATGGCTGCTACTGTATAAATTGGTTAAGACATGACACAGACATACAGTAATACGGTACCAAATGTTAGGCTGGAGCATATGGAAGCAAATTGTTACCATATTTCAAATGAAAAAGCATTTCAAGAAATGCTTTTTCATTTTCAAATTTTACATTTCAAATTGAATTTTGGTATGTATTTGCTGGGGTGCATTTTTCTTTTTCATTTTAATTAAGTAAAAGGATGAGCAGTGTTGAAGAAGAAAATGAAAATGCAAACAGGATTATTGATTACTTATTTTATTTATGAGTCAAACAATGCAGCCGCATTCTTAAAATGAAAAAGCATTTCTGAAAATGCTTTTTCATTTGAAATATGGTAACGATTTGCTTCCATAGGAGCATGGCTCTGGGGTAATGATGGAGAAGCAGCTGGAGTTTAAACCCAGGATCAGGGATTTCTCAGAGCTGTCAACTCCAGTGGGCTGAACATAAATGCCAGCCGCACGTTTAAGATTTTAAATTGTAAAACTAATAAATAAAAAAATGTATCGTTTTTCTTAATGACTTCTCGTTGATCCGTTGAAAATGTAAACTAACAAGTGAAAGAGGTTGAATACTTTTACGAGGCCTGGATGCAGTTTTATCTAAGTTAAAAAAGGCAAATGAAATATATCAGCTTTATTATGAGGTTTAATAAAACAAAAAAGACATTTTAAAGTATTATTGATGTCTAGATGTAGCTGAGGACAATTCCAGCTCTGTCATTATCGTAGAAAAACAAAGCAAGGAGGGCGCCATTTCTTTTCTAGCTAGCAGATGCTTAATATAACCCGCCCTAAATTTAGCCGATCATCTACAAATGATGTAATAACTAGAATAAACACATTCTCTACTAATGTTACAGTTGCTCTTTTTCCCCTATCAACACGTCAACGATGTGTAGGAGACTTTGGCATGTTTGGAGTGAAGCAAACAGCTCCTGAAATCAGAAGATGAAGAGAATGACCGTGACTGCAAGAGGCAAACATTCAAATCCCAGGGAAGACAGGCGCGCATTGTGAAGCAGAATAATCCCAATAACCCCAGACACACAGAAGCCTCGGAAACAAAGGGCCAAAACCCTGCCGCTTCTTTCACTCCCGAGATAGGTTTATTATTCAAGCAAAGGCGAACTTCGATAAACAACTTGGAACAATTTCACCAAACCTTTGGGTAATTCTCTCTAATATTCAGAGCACAATCAGCAGGGAGAGAAAGTCTTAAGGTAATGAAGAAATGTGCCACCACTGTGCCACTTGGAAAAAAAAAATGTTTCAATTATAATTAAGTGGGATAAACTTTATTAGAAAGACTGAAACTAAAATATCTCTTAATGCATGCTGGGATTAAGCAGGTCAGAGCGAGCAGGCAGGAAAAATTAAACTCTAAAGGCTTTTTATCACCATATTTCAGGAACCAAGGGTGTAAAATGTTCTAATTTGGGATACATTAAAAGCCATAAAGGTCTTTCAAAAAGATTAATGGTACTTTGCTTGGATTTAAGATAAGGGCTTCGGCTGGCTGCAAGTGCTGGGCTCCGGCTGGGCCCTCAAGGCATTCATCTATACAGCCACTGGAAGATTTGTGAAAGCG